ACGAAAATCAACCTTCTCATGCTCCAATAACTTCATTACAAGGTCTCAATTTTATAAGAATATCACATCATTAGATTTTTCAAAAACTATATCATAGAAACATTGCTGTATTTCTAGCAAAGTCGAACTTTATAACATAAAACTTAAGAAAGACAAAACTTTAGGGTATTTAAGTGCAATCAACGTTTTTAGTATAATATTTTGAATAAATATGGTTGATATCTATTGCACATGCGTTGCTAGTCTATACTAATATATAATGATCTTAGCGGAGGAATGAAGAACTTATCCTCTTTCCTATTCTAGTTGGAAGGGCAAAATTATAATTTTATGAAAGAAATTTTTCTCTTTTGTTTCGTTTCTTTGCTCATTTCTAGAACCTTCTAAATCATAACAAGAGAATTTGATTTGAACTTAAATAATTAAATAATCATAATATTATTTGTGATAAGATTTAGATATAAAATAATGACAACAGATATAAAATATCATCGATGAGCTACTTTTCTAGAAAAAGAAAACGTTATATTATATGTCAATGCTAAACATAGCAGTTAAAAAATGACTATGATCAATTTAAAGCATACTTTTTATTTAAATAGAAATGCTTTTAAAATAAGTGGACAATAATATTCTCATAACTTCATTTCTAGATTTCAGATTTATAATAACATTACGTTATTACAATTTAAAACTATATCTTAAAAACTTAGTATTTTTAAGTAAATCTAAACTTCATATGATACTATAAATTAAAAACCAATGAAACTCTAGGGTATTTTAATTTCATTAACTAGGCTTATCCATTCAGGCCTAAAGCCCGGACCCAGCACGATGTCCGAACAGAAGCTGACCGAGCTAGCACCCGCCTCGAATCCGAGAAAGGCCCGGGTTTCTAGGCAAAATCGGGCTCCCGGCGATTTGGGTCGACTCGGTGCAACTTGCACTGGGCCCGACCCGGCTCGGCCTGGAAAATGGTCGGTTTGTAGTACCCCAATCCGGGTCTGGCCTAGACCCAGCCCGACCCAAATGGTCAAAATTTGACCATTGGACCGAGCAGCTCGAACCCAACCTTGTCCAACGGTCAAAATTCTAACTATTGGACCGGGTCGGCCCGGAGCAGGCCCTGTTTAGTCTGCCAAAATAGTTTAAAATGATTTTTTTAAGCAAATTTAAAAAAATGAGGGAAAATAACTGGGCCAGCCCATTGTTTGACCCATTCGGGCCCGGACTCAGACCAGGCCCGGGCCCACCGGGTCAGAGCTCGGGTCACCCATTTTGCCGAGCCTGGATAAACAAACCTACCATTAACCCTTTTAATCAAAGTTTAGAATAAAAAAAAGTTTGGTGTTTATTGCACGTACATTCGTACGTGCGGTAATAGTAGTTGACATTTATGTTTCGTGTGGATACTCAGAAGTACTTGAAGGAATAATCCATAGATTTCCTAGCTCTAAATTAGATATGCATACGAATTTTTAATATTTGACTTAATTTTGTTATAATCAACTCACTGAAAGTGTAGTTTCCAATTTAAAATAAAGTATTACTTTCACAAAATCACATTGATCTTTGGGGATGTTAGGCATAACCTTTTTTTATCTCACATCACTCCCTGAGCTTTGAGGTGTCTCCTGAAACTCCCTCAGAAGTTCAAGCTTTTCTCTCGAACCTGGTACTTACTTGCAATCAACAAATAATCAAAATATCTTTCAGAGAAAAATAATTTGGATGGAGGGTAGTTTCCGCATAAATGGAAAATGTCGTAATGGGGTTTTTCTTTTTGGGATGTATTAGTCATTTGCCGATCATAGATTTATGGTAGGGGTTTCCTTGAGAAAGTTTAAAGTTTAGGAATTCTTGTGAGACACCCTACTGTTGAAGGAGGCTTTGTAAAATAGAAAAATTTCGCGGGGTTATTGCAACACCTCCTAATGTTTGGGCATAGGCCTGGCCTGTCGCATACCGGCCCGGCCGCGGCCCGAAAATCCCGGGCCCGGGGCCGGGCGCCGACCGGGCCGGGTTCCGGAGCTGGAGCGCCGGATTTTTTTTCCAAAATTTTTTAATGTTATTTAACTTATAAATTATAAAAAAAAGACAAGAAAAATAACAAAAACAATAATTTTATTAATTACTTAAAATGACATAAATTACAAATAAGAAATGATAAAAACATATTCTTTATTAATAATTGATAAATCAGTTACAAATTACAAGTACAAATTTATTTTGGAATTAATCGCATCACAATAGATAAGTAAATCCCAACTAGGTTGGCACCTACTCACCTATATCACTATCATTTGCAATTATTTCCAAAATAATTCTTTACAAATTTTAAGCTAAGATATAAAAACTACAATCTATTCTTTATATCTATCTGCTAGTCCCAATTCTTCAAATTTATCTTCAATTCCAGCCATCCGATCGATGCCTTGCGTTCGCTTCTCGTACCTCCACCAATCTTGTAGGCACATCACCGCTTGTACAGTATATGGATCCAAGCATGTCCTGTGATCGTCGATCAAACGACCTGCTGTGCTGAAGGCGGATTCCGAAGCTACCGTCGAAACCTGCACTGTTAGTAAGTCACGAACCATGGTGGAAAGTATAGGATATGAAACTGATCCATATACTTTCCACCATTGCAAAATATCTAAAGCATTTCCTTGACATCTAACTAAAGAAGCAGAAAAATATTCATCTATTTCAGAAACCTCCGATGATGACGATCTAAGTCCAGATCCACCAGTTAGCTCAGCTACCATTGCATACCTATCAAAACTTACACTTTTACCTCGGGCTCGGGATGAGCTCGAAGAAACCGAAGCTGTAGACTGTTGTGTAGCTACACATCCATGTCTAGCTGCATACTCATCATATAAGGTTTGAAAATAACTTCTAATAGCTAAATGATGAGTAGTAGCAGTAAGGGTGGTTCCATCATCTAAGTCTATAATCTGATTACCATACAAGGATTGTAACAAACTTCGAAGGCCAATATCCTTCAAGCATGGATCAATAAGAACCCTCAAACCAAAAATATGAGGAATAGGCCTAAAATACTTATTAAATTTGCTCTCCATTTCAAAAACCATAGGTCCAAAAGTAGCATCCAAACGATATTTATCAAAAAAATTTTGAATATTTAAAATTTGTAAAGCAGCTAAAGTAATGGTTGGATAATAACAGCCAGATAATAACATGGTAGCATCATAAAAAACTTGTAACATTTCATTTAAATTACATATAACTGTCCATTCATCTTCAGTTATTCCATAAGTGCTACCAGAACTAGAACTAGAAGCATAATAGTTTATAAAATCAGTTATAATGTCTTTATATTCTATGGCTACACTTAACATTGCATAGGTGGAATTCCACTTATGGTCAACATCTTTTGGAATTAGTCTGGGCTTTATATTTTTTTCTTTTACAAAATTGTTTCCATCTTTTAAGTCTTTGTTCAGAAGCATTATGCATATAAGCAACTGTTCTAACCTTTTCTATCATGGGTTTAATTTCAGTAAATGCACTTTGAACAATTAAATTTAAAATATGACAGATACACCTAATATGAAAAAGATCACCATAACATGGTAATGACAGAGTTGATCTGATAAAATCAACAGCTACATTGTTATTACTAGCATTATCTAGTGAAAGAGAAAATATTCTTTATGAAATTTCTAATTTCATAAGTTCTTCAATTATTAAATTTACAACATTAATACCAGTATGTGACTCTTCTATTGCAATAAAAGAAATAACTCTTTTAAACATTTGCCAATTTTCATCAATCCAGTGTGCTGTGATACATAAATATCCAGTTTGTGCTCTAGATGTCCAAATATCAGAAGTTAAAGAAAATTTACAGTTTAAATTTTTAAAATAAGAAATTATTTTTCCTTGTTCCTCCTGATAATATTTTAAAATATCACGTTGACAGGTTTGACGAGAAATTTTTTTAAATGCAGGATAAAAACCATCTCTAAACATATCTTCAAATTCATCATCTTCTACTAATTTAAAAGGAAGGTTTTTAAGAATGATAAACCTGATTACGCGCATTTCCTAGCTCTAGCAGCGTCATAGTTCCAACTACCGAGACTACCAGAAGAGGATGATTGAAAAATCATAGATTGTCGGATATCACATTAAGGAGTCTGGCCTTTGTTGTGTTTATCTAAATGGCGTTTGAGGTGGTTGGTGCCGCTCTTATGATGAGCTTAAAAAATCTTACCGCACAACGCACACTTAGCCTTCTGGGTGATGATCCTACCGTGTTCATCCTTGGTGACGTCGATCTTCTCGTAAAAATTTCACACATCAGATCTTGGCCTTTTAGGAGCTCTTGGTGCAGATTCGTCGTCACCGGATTCGGGATTAACTTCGGTAGGAGTAGACCCAGTAGGAGGACTCATTTTAGGATCGGGAGATAGGTTTTGCTCTTCATAATCAGATCCAGAAGCCATTTGATGAAAGGATTAGAAAGTATAAGAGGGTATAAGAGTATAAGAGAGAGTATAAGAGAGAAGTAGATGAGTTTTGGTGTGAAGAAAACAAATAAAAACCCCACTCTATTTATAGAACCAGCCCCCTAAGCAAATGACCAAAATAACCTCACAAAATAACCGTTTTTGATCGTTTTTGGGGACAAAACGGTCAAACGACCCCCGGGCCCGGAACCCGGCCTGGCCCGGATTTTCGGGCCGAGACCGGGCCGGGCCGGGCTCCGGGCCGGACCCGGACCGGCGGGCTTTTTGGACAGGCCTATTTGGGCAGGTTTGGGAGTCTAGGGGGATTAGTTATGTGCAAAACTTTCCTAAGTTCAAGGGTGCTTTTGTGAAATTACAGCAGCAACAAATTGGACCTAACCTAAACTACCAAGCAGCCGGGTCCAGCCCATTAAGGACATCACCATCATCATCAATGTGGGCCCCCCCAACACAAGAGCCCTCGTGTCATCTGCTGTACATAACAACGCAACAATTAGCAGATAGAAACTAATGAACTTTTTATGGTTCCAGCAAAAAAAAGCATTTGCAGGGAAAAAGGGGGTTAATTCAAATCCTTTCATGGGTCGGATTTTTACAGTAGAATTAGATGGCAGGATCTACAGATGCCGATTCTGTCATACCCATTTGGCCCTCGCTGAAGACATCATCTCTAGAGTACGTTTTTCTTTTAATTCTGTTTATGTTTAATTACGGGCCCTGATATTGAACCGGGTTGAAAATTTTCTGTGTTTTTTTGTGATGCCAAGTTGCTAATTTGTTGAAAGATTTGATCTTGTAGCTCAATTTAATGGGTTTAGTTAATCAGAGTCATTTGAGCTGGATTTGATGAAGTGGGAACTCAGAAACATGATAATATGTGCTTCATGTTGAGACATAATTCTATATCTTGTAATAGTGTCAACATTTGACTTTAAGTATGTTTTGTTAATACTTATATTTAAGAAATGTGGGGAGGATTTTGCTGGCAGATTTGAAAGAGAGGCAAATTATTTAACCACTTTATGAGGCAGCAACTTATACTATCCATAATTAAACTCTAAAATTGAACATGTTTATGTGATAAATTTATGATTCTAGCATTCAGATGAATATCAAAAGATTATTATTTTATATTGTGGTTTTGTATCATATCTTTATGTGAATAACTTGGTGTATCTTCCCCCACTCTTACTTAATTTTGTTTAATGTGCATCAGTCTTTCCACTGCCGCCGAGGGAAAGCATACCTCTTCAACAATGTGTGAGTTCCTGTGTTATCTTTTTGGATATTATTGAGCATTGTTTCACCTATATCTTTTATGTAGATTCTATGGTGTTGGATTTCTCCTCTATCCAGGATCGTATAGCCAGAAACAGTATGCAATGTATCTAGCTTGCTGGTCTTTTTGTTGCAAATTGATTTTGTCATGGTCTTTTTGTTGCAAATTGATTTTGTCATTTCATTGGTAAAAGGGGAACTTTTTTACTTTCTGATTATAGATTGTAGGTGAAATGATCTTTTTTGTTTTTGGCGCTTAGCTTGTAGAATTGATGCTGTAGGTTCAGACTGTGACCGATTTGACATTTTTCATCTACATACAGTATAGCAAAAGCATATAATACTCAAAGTGAATATTGATAAATTCAGCATAGGTAACCTCCTTTTCAGCATAGATGACCTCCTAGTATGATACATCATAAAACCACTGTTTTGAGAACTGCACAGATTGTTTTATAAAATTTCATCATGAATATTGATAATGTGCAATAAAGTAAATGAAAATGATATAGGAAGACAAATGTTCTCACTATCAAGCATGCATTGATCAGATTGCTAATCAAGAAAGCAATGGAAATATAATCTAAACGTACTACCATTTGCATTCGCATTGTACTTGTAACCATGTTATTACATGTCTTCTATGATCTCCTCTTTTTCCTTTATTGATTATTCATGGAGAAAATCAAATAACTTTAATTATCACAATTTCAGTTGCTTCATTTTCGTTGCCTAACATTTCATAATCATGCATTTCAGTGCGAACATATCGGTTGGAAGTTTAGAGGAGAGGATGATGCTCTCTGGAATGCATACTGTAGCTGATATATTCTGCTGCTGCTGTGGGCAAAATGTTGGTTGGAAATATGTAAGAACGTTCATTTTGATTGCCACTGGTTTTTGACTCTGCTTTTGCTTGTTAATCGTGGTCACAACTTGCAATACTAATTCTACAATATAGCTTTAGCACATAAATATAATATGGGTAAAGTTTTAAGGATGTGCAAATTCATTCCTATGATTCCATCATTATATGTATTCTATCTCTGCTAATTTTAAGTTAATTTGTTTTCTTTTCAGATCTTTGTATGCACATTACCTTGTATTTGGCCAAATCACTTCTTGTGTTCCTGCATAGAAATATTTATGTGAGCTACCAAATTCACAATTTTTCATGAACTAACCCACAATTTATGACTGTTTTTGGCCAAATCGCTTCTTGTATCCTCGCATAGAAATATTTATCCGATCTCCCAAATTAACGATTTCTTGAGGAGTATAATCCACAAATTTGGTCGTTTTCGGCCAAATCACTTCTTATTTCCCACATAGAAATATTTATCCGATCTCTCAAATCAATATTTTCTAGTGTAGTTTAATCCGCAATTTTGTTCATTTTCGGCCAAATCACTTCTTGCATTCCCACATAGAAATATTTATGCGAGCTTCTAAATTCATGATTTCTTGTAGACTGTAACATTAATTTTGGATGTTTTTAGGTAAAATCACTTGTCTTGCATGCTTATAGCTCACACATTCATGATTTCTCGTGGACTATACTCCACAATTTTGGTCGTCTTCGGCCAAATTACTTCTTGTGTTCTCGCACAGAAATATTTATGTAATCTTCCAAATTAGCAATTTCTTGTGGAGTGTAACCCACAACTTCGGTCATTTTCGGCCAAATAACTTCTTTCATTCCTCCATGGAAATATTTATGCGAGCTCCCAAATCATGATTTCCCATGGACTATAACTCTAATTTTTTAGCCGTTTTAGGTGAAATCACTTTTTGCATTCCCATATAAAACTATTTATGTGAAGTATCAAATTCACAATTTACTGTTGACTATAAGCAACAATTTTGGATGTTTCGGCCAAATCACTTCTTATGTTCCCGCATAGAGCTCCCTAATTCACGATTTCTCGTGGACTATGACCCACAATTTTGTCCGCTCTCGGCCAAATTACTCTTTGTGTTCTCGCATAGAAATATTTATTTGGTTTCCAAATTATCGATTTCTCATGGGCTATAGCCCATAATTTTGGTCATTTTCAGTCAAATCACTTCTTGTGCTCCCAAGTAGCAATGTTTATGTGAGCTTCCAAATTAACAATTTCTCTTAAACTATAATCCATAATTTTGGCCGTTTTAGACCAAAACACTTTTTACACTCCCACATAGAAATATTTATGCAAGCTCCCAAATTCACAATTTGTCATGGACTATAACCCACAATTTTGGTTGTTTTTGGCCAAGTCACTTCTTATGCTCCTGCATGAAAAAATATTTATGCGATGTCCCTAATTTACAATTTCTCGTGGACTATAAGGCACAAATTTTCCATTCTCGGCCAAATCACTTCTTATTTTCTTACATAGAAATACTCATTTGATTTTCCAAATTAACGATTTCTCACGGACTATAGCTTCAATTTTAGATATTTTCGGCAAAAATAACTTCTTTTCCGGCATAAGAATATTTATGCGAGATCCTAAAATCACAATTTCTCGTGTACTTTAAACCACAATTTTTTATGTTTTTGGCAAAATCACTTACTGTGTTCTCGCATAGAAATAGTTTTCCGATCTTCCAAAACTAACGATTTCTTGTGGAGCATCACCCACAATTTGGTCGTTTTTGGCCAAATCACCTCTTACATTCGCACATTGTAATATTTATGTGAACTCTTAATTCACGATTACTCATGGACTATAACCCACACTTTTCGGAAGATGTGAGCTCCCAAGTTTACAATTTCTCGTGGTCCCTAAGCCACAATTCTTTGGTCATTTTCACCAAATTAATTATTGTCTTCTTGCATCGAAATATTTATCCGATCTCCCAAATTAATGATTTCTCGCGGACTATAGCATAATTTTGGTCATTTTTTACTGAATCACTTGTCACATTTTCGTATAGAAAAATTAATGCAAACTCCCAAATTCGTGATTTCAGAATATAACCTGCAATTTTGGTTGTTTTGGGCCAAATCACTTGTGTTCCCGCATAGCAATGTTTATGCGAGCTCCCAAAATTTGGATTTCTCATTGAATATGGCCACAATTTTGGCCGTTTTAAGCCAAATCACTTTTTGCATTCCCCCATTGAAATATTTATGCGAGCTCTCAAATTAATGATTTGGATGATTTTGGCCAAATCACTTATTGTGCTTCCACATAGAAGTATTTATTTATGAGAGCTCCCTAATTCAAGATTTCTTGTGGACTATAACCCATAATTTAGGCCGTTTTCAGCCAAATCACTTCTTGTGTTCTCACATAGAAATATTTATTTGATTTCCCAAATTAATGATTTCTCTTGGACTATATATAGCCTACAATTTTGGTCGTTTTTGGTGAAATCACTTCTTCCTTTCCGGCATATAAATATTTATGTGAGCTCCCAAAATTCACAAGTTATTGTGGACTATAACCCACAATTGTGACTCTTTTTTGCTAAATCACTTATTATTTTCCTGCATAGAAATATTTATGCAAGCTCTCAAATTCATGATTTCTCATGGACTATAACCCACAATTGTTTAGCCCTTTTAGGCCAAATCACTTCTTGCGTTCTTGCATGGTAATGTTTATGCGAGCTCCTAAATTAATAATTTCTCGTGGATTGTATACCCACAATTTTGGTGTTTAGGACATCACTTTTTGCATTCCCAAATAGAAATGTTTATCTAACCTCCAAAATTCACAATTGTCATGGACTATAACCTACAATTATAGATGTTTTCGATGAAATCACTTCTTGTGCTCCCGCATGAAAATATTTATTCGAGCTGCAAATTGACTTTTTCTCGTGGACTTTAGCACACAATTTTGGCCGTTTTCGATCAAATCACTTTTTCTGTTCTCGCATAGAAATATTTATGCGATTTTCCAAATTAACAATTTCTTGTGGACTACGGCCCACAAGTTTGACCCTTTTTGGCCAAATCGCTTGTGTTCTCTTATAGAAATATTTATCTGATTTCCTAAATTAGCGACTTGTGGACTATAGCCACAATTTCGATCGTTTTCGGCCAAATCACTTATTCCTTTCCAGCATAGAAATACTTATGTGAGCTCCCAAATTAACAAATTCTCGTGGATTACAACACACAATTTTAGCCATTTTTGGCCAAATCCTTGTATTCCAGCATAGGAATATTTATCCTATCTCCCAAATAAATGATTTCCCATGGACTATAACCTGCAATTTTTTTCGTTTTCGGGCAAATCACTTCTTGGGTTCTTGCATAGAAATATTCATCTAACTCTCACTAAATTAACAATTTCTCTTAGACTATAACCCACAATTTTGGGCATTTTTGGCCAAGCCATTTCGTGTTTCCCGCATAGAAATATTTCAACGAGCTCCTAAATTCATCTTTTCTCGTGGAATAAAACTCACAATTTTGGACATTTTCGGCCAAATTACTTATTGCGTACTCGCATAGAAATATTTATCCCATCTCCTATATTAACGATTTCACATGGAGTTTAACCTACAATTTAGCTCGTTTTTGGCCAAATAACTTCTTACATTCCCACATAGGAATATTTATGTGAGATACCAAATTCGCGATTTTGCGTGGACTATAGCCCACAAGTTTGGATGTTTTCGGCAAAATCACTTCTTGTGTTCCTACATGTATATAGGTTCCGTATTCACGAGTTCGTGGATTATAACCCAAAATAGATGTTTTTGGCAAAATCATTTCTTGTGCTCTTGCATAGAATTTTTTTTTCTATCTTCCAAATTAACGCTTTCTCATGGAGTACAACCCACAGTTTTGGTCGTTTTGGGCCAAATCACTTCTTGCATTCCCACATTGAAATATTTGTGCTCTCAAGTTCACAATTTCTCGTGGACTATAACACACTATTTTGGATATCTTTGGCCAAATCATTTATTGTGTTCTCGTATGAAAATATTTATGTGAGCTCCCAAATTGTCGTGGTCTATAAGCCACAATTTTTGGTGGTTTTTGCCAAATTACTTGTGTTCTCGCATTGAAATATATATTTGATCTCCAAAACTAATGATTTCTCATAGACTATAACGTGCAATTTTGGTCATTATCGGCTAAATCACTTCTTGCATTTTCGGATAGAAATATTTACGCAAGCTCCCAAATCCCAATTCTTGACTTCTTATGGACTGCAACCCACAATTTTGGTCCTTTTCAGCCAAATCACTTATCATGTTCCCACATAGCAATGTTTATGCGAGCTTCTAAATTAACAATTTTGCGTGGACTATATCACCCACAATATTGGTCGTTTTAGGCCATATCACTTTTTGCTAGGGCTGAGCATGGTTCGGTTCAAACCGAAAAAACCGACCGAACCGACCCGAAATTAGCAGTTCGGTTCGGTTTTGTTTGTAAAACGGTTCGGGTCGGGTTGAAAATTTTTCAACCCGAAATACTCGAACCGACCGCCACAAATAAACTACCCATTAGAAACCCACAAACCCCTCCCGTTCCCTCATATCTCAAAACCCTAAATCCCCAGCAGCCCACCACTTCCTCTTCCTCAGTTCCTCTCTCTCTCTCTTTGTCTGCCGCCTCCGCGCTCAAATTCCGCAATTCCGCCTTCCGTGCTCGGCACTCCGCCGTCAGCCATCAGCTGCCATCTGCCAGCCAAACTCCCTCTTCCTCAGTTCCTCTCTCTCACTCTCTGGCCGCCGCACTCCGCAGTTCTGCCTTTCGCGCTCGGCACTCCGCTGTCAGCTGCTAGCCGCCAGCCGTACTTCCTCTTCCTCAGTTCCTCTCTCTCACTCTTTGTCTTCCAATTCAAAACTCCAAACCAAAAAAAGGAAAAAAAGTCAGTTATTTCTAAACCTCACAATTAGATCCATTAAAATCCA